CATCCATCCATCCATCCATCCATCCATCCATCCGTCCATCTTCTTCCAATTATCCGTGGTCGGGTCATGGGGGTAGCAGCTTCATTAGGGAGGCCCAGACGTCCCTCTCCCCAGCCACTTGCACCACCCCCTTCCCTAGGAACCCCAAGGTGCTCCCAGGCCAGCCGAGAAACATAGTCCCTCCAGATGTCCTGGGACGTGCCTGGAACACCTCACCAGGGAGACGTCCAGGAGGCCTCCTTACTAGATGCCCGAGCCACCTCAAAGGGCTCCTCTCGATGTGGAGGAGCAGCGGCGCTACTCTGAGTCCTCCCCAGATGACTGAGCTCCTCACCCTATCTCTAAGGGAGATCCCAGACACACTACGAAGAAAACTCATTTCAGCCGCTTGAATCCGGGATCTCGTTCTTTCAGTCATGACCCAAAGCTTATGACCATAGATGAGGATAGGAATGTACGTATATCAACTGGTAAATTGAGAGCTTTGCCTTTTGGCTAAGTTCTCTCTTCACCAAAAATGACCGGTACAGTGCACGCTTCACAGCGGACCCCGCACAAATCTGCCTTTTAATGATTATTAGATTTATTTAGAGGAGCCTTGTCATTTTTTTTTTCTTAGCGCCGATAGGGGATATCTGAGATGAAACTGTCTTTTAGGTGTAGTCCTCCCAATTTCAATGGGGTTGAGGTTTGCACTATATCTTAACTTTGATGTCAGTTTTACAAAACAAAACTCTACACTTTCACTTACAAACCAATTAATCCTCTTTTGATGGTTAGACTGGTTTATTCATTTGACCTTGGTAGGAACAGACCTAAACTATTCACTAATCACTACAGTAAAAACATTAGATTGTATATCAGATAGTACACATTTAGAAGATATTCGTAGAGAACAATGTAATCTAATTATAATAATAATTGAATTCCCAATTTTCTTTTTTTGATGTTAAATTCAATTTTACATCTACTGTAGGTCTTTATCGTATTGGTGCTCATTTTTGGAATAACTTTATATTTGCATTTATTATGAAAGTGTCAGGAATTAAGATTATTTTACAATGTGAAAATAATACTACACTGCTAAAACTTTGATGTGCTGTATTTTCAGATATTTTTATTCTTGGTCTTTTGTAAATAATTGGAATGCTGAATGTTATAATTGTGTCGTTGGTCAGTTTTGCTTCTTCAGATTTTTCCAGAATAAACATTCAGAAATACACACAGTACAGCAGTTTGACATGTTTGAAATATTATGAGAGGAAGAAGCATTTGAATTGACTGTAAATAAGTAACTGACAATAACAGTTACTGTATTTAATCGTAATTATTCTGAACTGCTCCCTAACCAATAGATTTTCTCTTTTGGTAAAATCTATAACAACTTCTTAGTTAGTTTTTTTCTCTTCTTTTACTCCAATGTCTAATTTACCTTCAGATAAAAATTTAAAATGTTATGACTTGATGAACAATTGTTTAGCATAAATGAAGGGCTAACAGAAATTTGCAGCTGTTGTCCTACTTTATAAACCTAATGAAAGTTGCATAATCCCTTTGATTTAATTTAGTTTTAGTCAAAGGTGCTTTTCCTTTTAATGTATGCTGTTTAAAGAGTCATCCTCTCTCCACCACATATTTATAAGAAAAACAAAAAAACGCCTTTAACCTGAAATAAAAAATAGGGTTGGTTTGAAAGAACTTGTCTTTACATGAAGTACCTACTTTCACCTGCAGGTGGCAGCAAAATACCATGTTCTACACTCATTCATCTCAGCATAGTTTGAATAATACTTCAAAATGAAATAAATCCTTTTAATGTCTAATTACCATGTCATTGAGTCAATGATAAAAGTTGAAAATTAACTTGTGTATTCTTTTGAATTGAATATCTTCTATTATAAACCTAAACTCTGTCTCAGTTAATTCATTTTTCATATTTATTTAAATGTATTTTATTAAAGCACTCCAATTTGAGCAGTTGTCCAGATGTGGGCTTTATTTTTCTGTATCTTTGTGTCATCAGCTCTTAAATAAAATAAATGCTTTTAAAAAACTGTACTGAATCGGGATTGCGAATGTTTTGGTTGATTAGACTTTTTTTTAATATTCCCCCCTGCAATTTTTTCCACTAATTGAAATGTCTTTAAACACATATTAACATGAATTCAACACACTGTAGTAAACAGATAAATGGAGGCAGAAGATGTCTTTCAGTCATCAATGCACACATTGGTGGTCACTGTTTCATTCATAACACCTGTCTCATCAACGAGGAATCTAAATCAGAAGTACTTGAATAATCCCAGGATTATTAAAGTACTCTATTACTCCATCTGTAATAGAGAGACTGTAGGAACAGTTTGATATAACACAATTTCATACAATATATATAATTAGGGGGGCCCCGCTCCATCTCGCCATCAGTTTGGGGGTCCTTGGCCTGAAAAAAGTCCCCTGCTTTAGAGGCACATAAAGAGAATTTCATATTTGGCTGGCTTCTGTCTCAGCTGCAGGCAGTGTTGTCTGATGGTAAAAGAAAATGCAAACACACAAAACTAAAAATGTAAATTAAATTAAATTAACGCATTTAATAGGCTACAAAGAGGCTTGATCCCCCATCTCTGCATCAGGCGCACTTTTTTTGTCTGTTGGTGGTGGAGGAGACCCATTTACTTCTGCTGATGTGGCCATTCAGGATCAAATTCAACTATTTTATAGACTAGTTTGCCTGAAAAGTCAAAGAAAAACAAACATGTAATATGCTTTGAACACAAGGAACAACTTTAAATCATCTGTGTATCTATTAACAGTTTAATTTGTATGGTTACCCAAAAAAAGTTAAAAACAATCCACTGGACATTGTTTCCAAGTTTTAAGACGTCTCGCTTCCCATCCAGGAAGCTTTTTCAATTGTCAGAATAATGTTAAGCTCAAAGCTTTTTTTTTTTTGCTTTTTTTTTCCCCCCTGCATGGGGTTGGGGGTTGAGATGATAAGAGGATAAGAAAAAACATCTCGCCTGAGCAGCCAGGCCAACAATTGCCCCTAATCACCCCCCTTCTACAGGCATAGACCAGTGTAGGGTATTGCAGGCTAACAAAAGAACCCAACGACTCCCCAATCCTAAGGGGCGGACCCATTCTTCTGGTTCAATCTGCATGTTTTCTAAACCAAAACAAGTTTTCGGGCCACCATATAAAGCTTTGAAATTAATGCTAAGTCTGACATTTTGAATTCAAAAAGTTTCCTGGATGGGAAGCGAAACGTCTTAAAAACTCGGAAACAAAGTCCAGTGGTTTGATTTTAAACTTTTTTGGAATGACTGTGACCTGGATGACTGAGAATCTTCAGCATTTTGTACGGTTACATTTTTTGGCTGCTATATAAAGCTTCAAACTCAACGCTAATTCTGACGTTTTCAATTAAAAAACTTTGTGGATGGGAAGCGAAACGTCTTCAAACTTGGAAACAAATTTCAGTGGATTGTTTCTGAACCTTTTGGAATGTACGGTTACGTTTAGTTAATGATAGCTTGGCTAACAAGAGCTGGGAAGCTGCAAATCAACAACAACAAGAATTCGTCTCAGCTACAATAAATAGCTGTAACCTAATATAACATTGACTGTTTGTTTTTTTAACTCACCTTTTTAAATGCTTCTAACACACAGTCATGTACGGTATATGGTGCCCTTTTTGTTGAAAGTAATGTTCAGTGTTCTTACTGCTGTTACTGTATGCATATCATGCATGGCCTCTTTGTGACCTCCAAGACATGGCTTGTGCTGTTTTACTTTCATGTTGGAAAATCACAGAACTTTTTTCTTATGGTGGTCGTGAGAAGGGCTATAGTTGCTCATAATGCAACAACTCCTCCACATTTCTTTGTTTAAACGAGCTTCAAAACAACCACACAGAATCACTTCCAAAATGCATTGCTTTTTACAGCTGTGCTTATGTGGGGTCAGTGTACTCAATAACAACA